TTCCCCTCCCTTCCCTCCTTCCCTCCTTCCCTCCTTCCGTTCTTTCGTTCTTTTTCTTTCATCTGTCTTTCTGTCTTTCTAAGATTGCAGATTCATTGGGGAAAACTCATTTGGAACTTTATGCAATTTCAAATGCTTTTCCTTTATTTTTATTAGAGGAAAATGTAAAGCATTCCTCTTCTTTTTACAATAAGGAGAAATAAAAACTTGTTTCATATTATGGGGATTAAAGAAAAAAATCAAAGGAGGGAGGAAGATAGAAGCAGAAATGTCCAGACAGCGAAGAGGAAAAAGGGATCTGGAGGGAAGGGCAAAGGAATCCATAGGCTCTGGAAGGAAAGTGATATGAAATCATTCGTGTTGGGCCCGAGGGTACCACGGAGCCACATACATCTGAGTTAATGAACTTGGCATTGGGCACTTTGCCTGTTTCCCTTCTAGTTCCCTTTTTCTTCCCCAAGGCCTCGCTCACCCCACTGCCGCCTCAGCATCCCGTTCTGGTTCCCGTTGCCGCTTCTGGTTGACTATGAATGGCTCGGCCATGAGGCCACTGACCGACAAAGTGGCCAGTGGAGGGCTCCAGGGTGTTTATAAAAGGAAGAGTGGACTTTGGGGCATGATGGTGTGACACAGGCATAGGCTTTTTATTCTTCTTTCTTTTCATAAAGTCCCATGAAAATACTCAAAAGAATAAGCAAGTATGGAAATACCTGTAGCAGCACGGAAAACCAGGGGTGGGTATCACCTCTATGCCAGAGGCTAGAGGGAATTTTGCTGAATCTTAATGTTATGAGAACTGAATTTAAGGAAGCCATTGAGAGCTGAGTCTTATTTGTCTGGAATGTAGCAGAAAAGCATTATGAAAAACAAGGGCTGATCCTCTCTGGGTGGTGGGGAAAAGGGACTGGGGAGGGGCCTTTTGGGAAGCCCTGCCTTTAGGCCCCGCGGCTGGCATTGTTGTTGGTAACCCGCCCACCCATTGCCAAACCCTTTCCTCCTTGCTGACCCCCACTATATAGTCTGAAAGAGCTAAACACTCGCTTTTCCAGCCTCCTTTACAGCTCAGGGTGCCCATGTGACACAGTTTTGAACACTAAAAGTTTCTGGGAGGCTTCTGGGAAAGTTTTTGCTTTGCTGAAAAAGCTGTGGGTGTGGCTGGCTTCACCTCTTCTCCCTTCTTTCTACCTCGAATGTTTGTTATGCCTGGAGCTATGGAAGCCATGTTGTGACCATGAGGGAAAAGCCAAGGGAGTGTATTTACTAAACAAGGAAACTATAGCTCTTCCCATGTAGGACTATAAATCCAGGGGGAAAGGACCTATGAAGAGATTCTGCAGTTCATAAGAAGAGGGGCACAAATTTCCGGAGATTTGGACAAGCTTCCTTCATCTGAAGGAAAACAGAAGTTTTTAGAAGACAGCAAATTTGTCTTGTCCATAGGATTTAAAGAATATTGCCTCTCTTCAACCAAAGCAAACCACCATGAGAAGGACATAATCTTAGATCCTGAAATATTAAATTCAGATGAAGAACATTGTGTTAAATTCAAAACCCCAGTAGAAACCCTGAATAGGCCACCGGGCATGGCAAAATATACTGAATCGGTGAACTAGTTTAAGGAAACAGAACATAAGGAGACAGGTAAAAACTGAGAGACTAGATAAGAAAATATGGAGAACAGATCTAGGGATACAACTTAGAGCTAATAGGAATCTCTGGAAGATAAAAATAATTTGGGACAGAAGTAATCACTGAGGAACTACTGGAGGGAAGCCTCCCTGACCTAAAACAAGGCCTGCATCTGAAAGGTGAGTGCATCAACAGCCTCCAGGACACAGCTCTGCTTCTGTCTCCTCTCTGAACACCCGCGCCTGTTCCTTTTGTATCCTCAGCCTCAGACACAAGACTTCCACTCTCTTTGGTGTTTGAAACCTCAACACCGAGGACAGTAGTTATATCTAGATACACTCCCATCTACACAGGCAGAAAAATGCAGGATGAAGTTGAGCTTGAGATCTGACTTCCAGGTTTGAACTAAGCGACAAGCACACGGTTTGTTAAAGTGAGGGTGGAGGTGGGATTATTATGGGATACAGGAACAGGAGGATGGCCAGTGTTGGCCCTTCCCTTGCCTTCTCTCTGGTTCCCATTTTTCCTCCCAGCTGTTTTGAGCCCCTTTCTTATACTCTGTCTTTCCTCTTCTGTTTTCTCTCTCATGCCTTCTCTCCTCTTGAACTGACCATGATCCAAAACTTAAAAATATATATATTTTATAGTCTGTAGTATTTTAAGTTTAGGAAGTAAATTCTTTTTAAAAAATCTAAAAGTAACCATAGGGCTTATCTGTTGTTTTGTGTGCCTTTTAACTGACTTCCCCTCTGGCTCAGTGGCCTTTGGTAAAAGAAAGTCTCCCAGTGAGAGCTGCACTGTGTATTTCCAGGACAGAAAAACAGCTGAGCAAATTTGGAAAAGTATCAGAGGAGAGCTACGTGGGGAGGGAAGAGAGCAAGGAGAGGGTACTTCCTTCTTGCCCTGAGCCTTCAGCCTGGACTGAGTGGGAGGGGTTTATGAAAACAAAGGCACAGATACCTCAGGAGCACTTAGGTTGCGCTAGAGAGCTGAGTGAAATAGCTGAAGGAGCAAGTGGACCAAAGAGCATTCTACACAGGCCCTCAGGAAATGCCTGAGTGTTTATGCCAAACACTGAGGTCATCCCCAGCAATGAGCAAGCCTCTGCTTTTGTTGATAACCTGCCTGTGAGCCATCTCGACACTGTACACCTTCTCCACCCCCCCAACCTCTGAGAGGCAGATAGATCCTGAGATAGGGCATTGTTTTCTCCTCTAACCCCCCAAAGTGTTTCATCTGCTTCTCCGTGTAAGTACTTAGGACTTTGTACTCTACCTTAGAGTTATCTGCATATGTCTCAGTGCCCCTACTAGCGAGGTGAGCTCTTTAAAGGAATAGTTTCTTCATTTATTCATCCATTCCTTTATTAACTGCTAGGAACATGCAGTTCAACGCATGGCCCCATCTCTGGGTGTAGTTGGGAGCAGGTGTGAAAGGAATTATGATACATGTTTTAAGTGTTTGGGGAAGGCATGTTACATGATGCTGAGGAATGGGCGCCCGAGCCTGTCTGGGAACTCCATGATACCTTCTCAGAAAATGGGCCCAGTCTTGAAGGAGAAGCCAGGGTCCACTGAGGAGGGCGGTGGGTGGCATTCAGGTGGGGGAACATCATAACAAGAGGTAGAGAGATGTGAGAGAGAACAGGCTATCTTTGGAGCACCACAAATCTTTGCACTTTTTGAAGCACAAATCGAAGGAAGGTGAGAGTGGCAGAAGGTTAAAAGGTGAACTTCTCAAGGCCCTAGTGTATCCTGTTAACTACTTGAGATTTAATTCCATTGTATTAGTTTCCTGTGGTTGCTGTAACAAATTAACACAAATTTAGTGGCTTAAAACAATTCAAATGTATTGTCTTCTAGTTCTGGAATTCAGAAATCTGAAATGGGTCTTATTTAGCTAAAATCAAGGTGCCAGTAGGTCTGTGTTACTTCTGGAAGCTCATGGGGAGAATCCATTTCCATTCCTTTCTCAGCTTCCAGAGTCCACCTGCATTCTTCGATTCATGCCTTCTTCCTCTCTCTTTAGAGCCAACAGTGTGACATCTTCAAATCTCTCTTTCTGACCTCTATTTCCATTGTTACTTCTCTTTTTCTGACTCTGACCCCCCTGCCTGCCTCTCATAAGGACTCATGATTACATTGGGCCCACCTATATAATCCAGAATAACCTCCCCACCTCAAAATCTTTAACTTGAGCACATTTACGGAATCCCTTTTGCCACGTAAGGTAACATATTCACAAGTTCCAGGGCTTGGGAGGGGAACATCTTTCAGGGGCCATTGTTTAGCCTACCACCCCTACATAGCCCAGAGGCTGTAAAACCAAGAATGTACTTGTCCTTCTGGAAGAAGGGTCATGGAGAGGTCCTGAAATTGTGACCTGAGGGTCATTTATTGCTATATTTCAGAAACCCCAAAGAGTCAAGTCTGAAGGACCAGGATCTTCACAAGCTGGGAACTAAGGGGGGCAGGGCTTTCATCATGGGGTACCCTGGCTCCACCTGGCCAGCTTAGGGTGAGACAGGTGGAAAGCCCTGGAAATGCCCTTACACCAAGGCTCTAACAGCCCTGCAGCAAGGGCTTGGCCTGAGTGTGCTGGGAGAGAGAGAGGGAAAGCTGTACTGCTAAGGAACTAAGGGGGGCTGGTACCATGATGCTGCTAGGGTCAATACTAGGAGAATAGCACTAGGCATCTGCTCCATCCCTTCAGGACCATAGAGCAAGCCTGTGGTGCCAGGATCCAGTAACTCCCGAGTAGGGTGATGAGCTGATGGCACCCTAGGCTTCCGAGAAGGGCACCTGAGGGGGAGGTTCCTGATCTGGCCCAGCACAGATCACAGACTCCTGATATCATGACAGGCTCATGCTGAGTCAGCAGAGGACCCAAGAGGACTTAGGTGAGCTGTGGTATTGAAATTGAGGGAAGGGTTTAGAATCCTATCTGATCTTTATCAAATTGGACTTAGTAAATGTTTGATGAGTGAGCAAAGAAGTCCCAGGCTCCCCATGAGGCCCCCCATAGTCACCAGTATCATTTCTAAGGTGCCAGAGTGCCCAGCGTACATCACTAACTAGACTCTCAGTGAAGAAGATTCCTAAGGGAAAAACAGAAGCCTCCAGCACCATGGCCTCTCCTGGCATCCGAGTCACTGGTGTTTGCCAGGTAGAGACAGTGTCCTGAGGGCTCAGGAGGACAGCCGCTATCTGTGAATGTTCCATGCTCATTTCCATCCCTGTTAAAGTAAACCAGCCCATGCTTCCACAGGTTGTTTCTTAAAACCAGTTTCTCCTGAAAAACTGTCCTTAGGACCCCACAGTAAACAGTCTCTGCCTTCGGCAGCTGTGTTGAGGTCGTGGCTGTGGCACAGTGCCCCGGTTACAGCTGTGGCCCTGCTGCTAACCTGCTGCCTGGGCCTAGATCAGTCATGCTCCTTTTGAGCCTTCCCTCATTTGTCTAGGAAAAAAGAGAGTCATTTTTATTGCCATTTGTTGCCATTTGTGGTTTTCTATCTGAGCCTTGATTATTGATTTGGGTTTAGAAGTCCTCCAGCGGGGAACTGGGTTTGCAGTCGCTGTAAGCGCACCATTACTCAACAAATGAGGATAATTAAGAACAGCTACGTATAACTAGAAACAGTTTCACTTGAAACATACAGAGATGCTTAACCCTGTTATAGCTCATAAACTCTGGCTTTAGAATGTGGCCCTGGGAGTGTACTCCAATCTGGTCGTCTTTGACCAGGTCGGCAATGGGTGGGGCAAGCTGAGAGTGTGCTATTTCATCTACCTGTCGTCTTCCTTTGGCATTTTAAAAACTATATAACCTTGACATTCTCTGTACCTTCTGTCATTACTGTCCATGAGCTTGAGAGTAGAGCACATTCCAAAGAGACGATAGTTTGTGCATTTGCATATCACCGTCATTCCTTGGTGTTTTGGAGAACGGGTGAGAGAATGTTTCTGGGTGTGTAATTAAATAAATAACATGTGTTCTTTTATTTAACAGCTGAAGCAGTGGAAGGCATTTGAAGAGGAAAACCAAACAATTAGATGCATGGCCAAATATTTCAGCACTCCCAGCAAAGGCTGCCATACCCAGTATGGTGAGGAACAGAACTGCCACGCCAGAGGAGAGAAAACCTCCATGGAAAGACTCCTCACAGAAGTAAGCGGGACCCCTGCCTGGCAGAGTCTCTATAAAGAACTCCAGTCACATACCAGTGGCCCCAGATGTCACATTGCTAATGTTCTTGCCTCTCCTCCATCCCCTCCTCCACTTTCCCTGGCAGCAGACAAAACCTCGACATTTCCTCAGTGACCCTCCCATTGCTGACCCTCACCCACTTTATTCGTTCACGGAATAGATGTGTGCCAGGCATTGTGCTAATTGCTGATGAATAAAATACAGTCCCTACCCTCATGGCGCTCTCAGTCCAAGGGAGGAAATAGATCTTGATCAAGAGAATAATGAAGGAAAAAATCAGGGTGGTAAGTCAGAATAGTGGGTAGTAAGGGCAAGGGAACCTGGTTTAGAGTTGTCAGACAAGACTCTCTGAGCTGAGAGCTGAAGGTTCAAGCTTGCCAGAAGAGAGTGCGGGGAAAAGCATTCCAGGCCAGGGGAACATCATTGGAAAGGCCCCGAGTTGTAGTAGATGATAGCTGCTTCTGTATGATACATTCTTTCCTTACATAGAGCAATTTCCTTCATGTACAAGATCTTATGGGGCCCCTACTATATTTTCAGTTTCTAACTAGAGATCTCAGTCATGCCACCAACCCAGAGAGTCAATAAGCGTCTATAGATGGGGAGGAAGGCTGAATAGGGCCTCCGAATTCATAGTAGCACCAACAGGGGACCAGGTAGCCCCCAGCCCTTCCTTCTTCTGTACTTAAGCCGGAGTTGGCACCTCTCCCAGAACTGGGCACGGAGGTGTGGACTAGCAGAAAGCACATGGAGAGGCTTGAGGCTGCACTGCCTCAGAAAGGAGGCATGGGGCCCAGAAGAATTAGTCAGTACTTTCTCACACTAAATTATATTCCATGTTTTCTTCAGTACAGTACATACCTGAGTAGCTGCTATTTGGGAAATGGTATTTTTCTGTAATTAGATTGACACGTGGGTATCAGGAGTTCCTGTGTGAGAGATGGTGAGATGGGAACCTCAGAAACACAGCCAGCGAGGGGATGAACCTCCCCTGCACCCGTCTGTGCCCCTCTGGTCTCCCACACCATACCCTCAGTCTGGACCTTTTTAAAAAATCCGAGTAATACTTCTCTATTTCTGTACTATTTATGAAGCATTCAGGGCCTTTTGCAAAGCCAGATTTCTCCCCACCTGGCAAAGGAGTAGCATTGCCTTTGATACTCTGTGAAGTCTTCAAAGAAGCATTTTTTTTTTTTTTTTTAAAGCTCCACAGAAGGCCAGAAACTTGGCGAGAACAGCCAGGATGGTTTTCATTCACAATCAGCTAATGTTGGAACAGCCAAGTGGCCTGACTCCTTAGCCTGATGGTAATTTATGACGTGCTGTTTGTACCTCTGCCACACTAACTGCCCTGTTTCCCACGCAGTGACTGTGTCTGCTCTGTCCAAAAAGGATGCCTTGAGCCTGCAGAGGAAGGGCCCTAATGGGGAGCAGATGCACAGGCAGTAAAAAGCTGGCCTCCCCCCAACACCTTACCCCTGGTACATCTTTCCCAGAAAAGGCCTGAGACCAGCAGCCGCCCCAGGGCGCTTCGCAGGCCGAGAGAGGTCCCAGGACCTAAACGCCCAGCCCTGGCGTTGCCTGGCGGACAAACACGGTGTCTCTTCTCGACATGTGCACAAACCCTGACTCCAGCTCCCCTCCAAGGCAGCCCCTCTGCCGCCCTTCCCTTGTCTTCCTCGTACCTTCCCAGGGTCTGGGAAGCCCACTCTCTCACTCTCGCCCCCTTCGCCCCTGTGGCCAGGGCTTCCCCGGGGCCGTTCGAGGTGGCGCCGTCACTGACCTTCCAGGCCTTGTGAAGGCCAACAGGGAGAACCTTCCCAGAACTTGAAGCACCTCCCTTCCACACTCGGAGGCTGAGGAAACCCAGTTATTTTCCTTCTTTGAGCCATAGCAGCAAGAGGGCGATTGCATGTCTCCTTATGGCCTGTACCTTGTGAAACGCACCTGTGGATATTTTGCCTCCCCAGATGCACCAAAATAATAATTAATAAGCTCATTTCGACGCAGCTGCCATGGTAGGTCGGTGGCAGTGGCTCACACCACGCCTCTAATTAGTATGCAGCCGTGGTGAAAACAGAGTCCCACTTTTGTCTCTGAAAGAAGAGAAACTTGCTGTTTAGACTGACATTTCTAAATCCATCGCCAGCCAGTTTCAGACATTCGGCCTGCTGGGGGAAGGGGATTCTTCCCAACTCAGCACGGATCCTCTTTTATACGCTCCAAGGAACTTGCGGGCAAGGGCAAGGCACAAAAAGACAGCACTCGGGGTCGACTTGCCGGGCTGACTGGTTGTCCGCAGTTGGTGGCCTCCTCCTAACTCTGTGAGGCAGTAGAGGCCCCCTGAGGCCACCCGAACCCCCCTTCCTGAGGAGGGGTTGCCGAGGGGGAAGAGGGCAGGGGCCCCTCCTGTGCAACCGGCACAGTCACCACTATGAGATGCTCGAGAGCTGCCTGGCGCCACCCGGGTGTCGTGAAGAGCCTGAGTGCCTGTCTCCCAGTTACTCACCCTCTGCTCCCCGAGCCCTCGAGTCACCTACACTCCCCGGCAGCGCCCAGCCCTTGCCACTCTGCGGGCGAGGACAGGAGAGGACGCAGGTCCCTTCCGCTTATTCAGCAGTTGCTCACTGGCCTGGGGCTCTCCTGATGACAAAAGAAGTAGATTAAACCAGGACGAAACTGGGAGTCCCAGTATCAGAGAAATCACCTTCCTGTTTATAAATAGGGAGCAGCAGGTCTGCCGTGGGGTTGCTGCCAGGGACGGTTGCTGGACTGGTTTACTTAAAGTACTGCTTCTGAAAGCATCACTCCTGGGCAACTCTCCCATCTCAACTTGAGAAGGCACCACAGGTTTGGTCCATAGGTATCAAGTGTCCTAAAGAAGGGAATCAGCCTTTTATTTCTAGAGGGTAATAAATGGATGTCCAGATGCCCATCCTTGGCTTCTAAAGAGGGTGGCAATAAAGAGTCAGCACTTTGGTGTTCGGGCAGGCAGCTCCTGGAACACAATGCTTGTGTTGTAACTTTCCCCAAACCCTTGACCCTGGCTGTCTGCCCCAAGACCATCAGTTCCCCATGATGATCTCTTCCCTGCTCCACTGCTTTTTATCATCAGAAATTTCAGAAGGTGGGCATAAGGTCTGAGTTAGAGAGTCAGCTGCTGTTACTGCCAGAGGATGCTCGGGGCACACCCACAGCCGGTTCTCTTCCCCCTACTCCATGCCCACAATCTATCTCAGTTAGTACAGGCACACCCCTGCAGCTCGCACCTGCCAGGCTTCTGGGCACAGCCTGTTTATCAACTAAAAGCTATGCAACAGGTGGGCAGCTCAGTAGCAGAACTGCCCCAGCCTCATTCATCTTCTGGGCTCCATTCTAGATCTACTGAATCAAACTATCAGAGACTTAGGCCCAACAATCCTATTTGAAAAAAAAGAGAGAGCCCGTCCGGGCGTGGCTCAGCGGTTGTGTGTCGACCTAGGATCCAGGCAATCAGGGTTCGATTCCCAGTCAGGGCACATGCCCGGGTTGCAGGCTCTATCAATGACTCTCTCATCATTGATGTTTTTATCTCTCTCTCTCTCCCTCTCCTTTCCTCTCTCTGAAATCAATAAAGATATATTTTTTAAAAAAAAAGAAAGGAGGAAAAAATTCTCCAATAATTCTGATGCCTGCACTTCTTTAGGAGAACACCAATAACTGATAGTGCCACATGGCAGCTTTCACCTTCCACCCTGAGGTTCAGCCAAGGGAGGAGATAACATCTCATTGGCCCCTGCTGGCTCTAGTCTTACCTCTTTGGCCCAGGAATCTCCACCCTTCTCTCTGCTTTTCCATTTTCTAGTCTGTTTAGCAAAAGGAAAAATACTTGTTTCCCCGTTCAGTAATCCCCTTGAGATGTGCCTCAAATTCGTCTGTGTCTTGCAAAGGTGTCATAAACCCAGAGCTGGGCCTTATTCAGACTTGTGTCCTGCAGAACGACCTGGCAGTCTCGGTTCTGAGGAGTGTGTGCAGCAGCCAGCAGCCGGCAGCCAGCAGCCCGCAAGCTGTGTCTACTCCAACCTCCCATCTCACAGACAGTGCCACAGAGTGGGGGCCGAAGGGAGAGATTAAGATCACACAACGATAAATCGTAGTTAACCTTTATTGAGCACCATGTGTCAGTCATTGTACTAAGCACCGTGTGTGCATCTGATTTTTTCACTTTGTGGAGGTATCTCCCCAGAGCCTAAGATCACTAGCTAATACACAGAGCAACTGGGATTTAAACCAAGTCTCCTGGAGCCACACTTTCTCCACCATGGGAGACAGTGCGAAAACCCTCAGAGGCATCTTTCATTGATGGTTTTGTTTTTGTCTTACAGAAAAATGCTGTGATTGAAAGCTTGCAGGAACAAGTCAACAACGCCAAAGAGAAGCTAGTGAGGCTTATGTCAGCTGAGTGTACCTATGACCCCCCAGAGTGGGCTGGCCTCCCTGCCTCTTCCCACAGCAAGGACTGCCAGGCTGCAGCCCCTGTGCACGGCCTAGCAACTCCAAGGCATTCCAAATGCCTCTCTAACCCTCCGAATGACACCAGTGCGGCTGCCCAGGACTCCCAGAGCACCTCAGTGCTCTCCTCAAGTGCACAGAGCCTCGAGGGGCCTGGGAAGGACACTGGCTCTTCCCCGGGGCAGAAGGAGGTGTCTGACTTGAAAGACTCTTCTGATCATTTAAACTTGGGCTGCAGCCAGAAGCAACAGGCTGAGCAAAGCCAGGGGACAGAAAGAAAAGATCAGGTACCTACGGCCCTCCACTGGAGTCTCATACCAGGTGAAGAAGGCTCTGTTCCCCAGAGACAGGGGCAGCTGGAGAACTCAGAGGAGCCCCAAAAGCAGCTGTCAAGGGTCAATTCAGTGATCAGAGAGAAGCTTCAAGAAGTCCTACAAGATCTGGGCCTGGGCGCTGAGGCTCCTGTCACCTCTTCCCTGTCTTGTCCCCAGCAGCCCTGGAAGAGCAGTGCTGCCCACAGCCCCCAGAAGATGCCTCTCTCCAAGGAGCTGGGCTTCAGCCCATACATGGTGAGGAGAAGGCGGGCAGTGCAGCGGGCTCGCTCACACTTTCCGGGCTCTGTACCCTCCTATGTGGGGCATCGGGCAAATAGGATTATATCTGGTGCAAAAAGTGGGTTAAATGTGCAGAACAGGGACAGCCTCTGCTTGGACCCTCAAACTGCTGATTCCAATGCACCCTCTTCCAAGAAGCCTTCAGGACTCCCAGATCCTCAAGGCAAGCCAGGCACCCTGGAGGACAGCAAACAATGCCAGGCAGAGCCCCAGGGGGCTGGAAGGAGCCCTGCAGCCTTCCCTCACCAACCTGCTGACTCTGGCCGGGCACAGTGTCCCGCTGGCCACCGCCTATCCAGAGCCTCACCAGATCTGCCTGAGCAGAGACAGCTGCAGTCCTCGGGGTCCCCAGGCTGTCCCTCCCTTTCTTCTCCATGCAACTACCTTGATACTGAGTCCAGCAGCTCAGACGAGTTTTTCTGCCACTGCCACCGGCCCTACTGTGAAATCTGCTTCCAGAGTTCCTCTGATTCCAGTGACAGTGGCTCATCAGACACTGACCCTGAGCATGCTGGGGGGCTGGCTTCCTGGGAAAAGCTGTGGGCCCGCTCAAAGCCTATCGTGAACTTCAAAGATGACCTGAAACCCACACTGGTGTAAAACTAAGCAGGGCAGGTCTGGATAGAGAAGTTGGTCCAGGACAAGCTGTACCAAGGCCCACAGGAGGAAGGGCAGTTCTGGCCTTTGGGGAACACACCCTCACCCTGCGTTTGACCAGTCCTTACCATGATTCACTTATGCTCAGTTGAGTCCTATGTTACCTTGAGCACTTCTTGGGTATTGCCTGTCTTGTTACTACCTCACAGCATCCTGGTACAAGACTCCAATTGAGTATCATAAAAGATACTCTTTGGATAAAAGGTGCTAAATGAGCACAGAAGCTTTCCTGTCCCGGTCAGCCTTTTACAAAGCTGTTAATATATACCAGATGGATGGGCGGTGGACAGACAGATGGAGAGGTGGGAGGAAAATATCTGCAGAACCAGAGTTGTGGACTATGACCCATCAAACTGGCCTTTTGGTGGCAGACCTGCTACAAAAATGAGTTTCCTACATGCTTCGTGTCCCACGCTTGTCAGGGAGCTCAATCTTGTTTCTGCAAAAGGTTATAAACAGCACCACTCCTGAGTTCCAGCTTCTGGCCAGACTCAGCCCATGGCCACCTCTACGGCACTGTTTGTTCATGTCTTTCTACCATTATGGCACCTCACTGTCATCCCTGAGACAGTCCGTTCTCTATGCGGCCACAGCCTACCCAGACCTCTCTGCCAAGCTCGGATGGCACCTGATGCCCAGACTTTCTTCTGGTGCCGTGGTCCTTCCCTTTGACTCTGCCCATGGTGTCGGTTTGGACTAGGGGGAAGACCACACTGGCAATCTCTGTTGGGGTAGAGGAGGCCTTGTTGGTCAAGAAGCGCTTTGGGTGCCATTGGGGTTACATGACCACCAATGGATACATAAACCTGGAAATACAAACTGGGGAAATAGAAAGGAAGAAATGGGGAAAAAGGCAGGGAAGAAAACAGGTTTTGAAAATATACCTTGAGTCTGGCACAGTACTTGACAATATCAAATTTCAGTAATTCCTTATGATAACTCTGGGAAGTAGACACTCTCGTTCTCATTTTTACAGATAGGGGATATGAGGCTTGGAGAACCGAGGCCACTTTCACAACTTCACACTGCTGGAGAGTGGCTGATGTAGGACTTGCTCACAGCTCATGGGACTCCAAGTTAGTAGATTCTCCTGAGGATATATCTCTTGACTCATACTTCTGGGAGTGGCAAACAGCCAGGCAATAAAGTAAGGGTAGTGTAGGAAAGCTGAGATGTTCTCACCCTGGAGTCCAGGACACCCGCCCCAAGATAACAAAACTGGATTCCTCACCTTGGGAAGTAGCCCACACTGCCTCGGGGGCCCGCCTGCAGCTCCCAAGGGAGGCAGGGGGCTGGTGAAGGATGAGTGCCAGGAGGTCGTCTCCTGCCAGAGCCACAGGGAGAGCACAGACGGGTCCACTTTGCTTGTCACTGAGCTGGTTGTTTAGAGGCCGTCCTCTGCCCGTCCATGTGTGTGTACATGTTCATGTGCAGGAATCTGAACCTCATTAGATCTGCCTGGGGGCGGGGGGGGTGGCCTTGGCTCTAAATATCTCACAGAAGATTTATCATGGACTCACAGGGGCTGCTGACACTCATGAATCTCCAGAAACTGCATTGGGAGGCCCTTCTGGTAGCACAGCTTCTTCTGTCATCTACTTTTACATACAAATGTCATAATTTATTCTGTGTGTGGGTTTGTAGTGTCTGCTTACGCTGTTTGTTTGCTTTCCAAGTGATACCTTAATAAAAGAGATATTACTCTCAAGGCAAGTCTCTTCAGAAATTGTGGTCTCAGGCTGGGGAGTAGAAGCACAGAGTGCACACGCAGCCACCAGAGTTGCCCTTGGTTACCCTGGGTTTCAAGTGCATCTTCTGCCGAACTTCACTTATAACAGAAACACCTGCCCCAGTGGACAGAGGAAACTCTGGAGACCCTGGACTCTTCCCACCCACAGTGTCCTGTGGTTGGGCCTCACCTCCTTCCCTCCCAGTGTGGTGTCACCACTAGCAGCCTACTGCTCATGACCGTGGACTGTGCAGGCTCTAACCCTGGCCATCCTTCTACCTTTCGCACTCTCTCTGCTCCTATATCCTCAGTCTCGCCATCCTAGCCTTTCTGCATCTCCATTCCTCTTCTATCTAGAATTCTTCCTCTTTTTGTGCACCTCGTGAATTACTCATCCTTCAGGGCTCAGGTGGAGCACACATTCTCTCTTCAGCCTTTCTTGAATACCCACAAATAAAATTGACTGACCCCACGGTTAAATAAGAAAGGATGTTTGGGGACCCCTGTTTCAAACTCAGTTATGTAGAGGCTTCTATTATCCGTTTTACCTGGAGTGACTTTGTAACCCTCGATAGACTTAGTTAGAAAAATGGAGAATATATCCCCAATTTTCTCTAACTTTGGTTCAAAAACTATGTTCCAAACACCACAACTGCCTGCCCCAAATACTGTTTCCAGTCCATTATTTACTCCTGCACCACCCCACCCCTACTCCTCACCAGCTCTTTCCCTAGATTTTTTACCCAAGACCAGCTAAGTCAGTGATGAAATTCTCAAAGGGAGGGGTGTGCAGTGGCTTTTGACATGCTCTTGATTGTTATGCTCTTGAAGAAAGGGCAGTAACTTGTACAAAGGAGCCATGGAGAAGTAAACATCACCCCTGCTTCTGTCATCTGGGCTGCACATGTCTGGTTGGCCCTAAGGCCTTGCATGGAGCCAGGCGTGATTCTGACCCAAGCATATGTTGCCTTGCTGATTGAAATCTTGGGGTTGGAAGTGTCCATCCTTGATAGGGCAAGTGGGTCCCTATCTCCTGGCCTGTGTCCAAACTGTCTTTCCCTGAGGGATCAACTTGGCCTTCCTGGAGTTCATAGAGGAGGGGGGAAAAGTATCCAGATGCGGGAGGCATGCTTTTAAAGAACCATACTACTTCTACTATGGTAAATGAAGAGTCAATGCAAGTGCCACAAAATCTCTTCTGTGTCTGTGTTTATTTTATTTAAATAAAATAAACAGGTTTTAAGGTCCTGAAAGCATGAAGTGTGTCTTCTGCATTTTTGTATCCTCTAAAGTAGACATCAGAGAACGTTGCACATAGGATAAACCTAATAAATGCTTGATGGATGGATTTCTGAGCGGATAAATGGATGAAACAAAGGGAGACAAAAAACCTGTTCTAGAGCTAGCAAAGCAGCAGAAAGGGAGGCAGAGCCATTCAGTTTCACTGCCTGCCAATGAGTTAAGAGCAAGAAAAAACATCACCCAGAAGTAACTGAACCCTGAAAATGATGGTATTTGAAGTCTCTTAGGGAGAGGAGGGGCAGGATGATGGAGTTAATGGGAGAGAAACAAAGTTACTGTGATACAGGTTTTTTCTTAAGATGCTTTCCTCACAGGCTTGTAACTAACAAGCAGCATTAGCAGGTAGACAGTCTATTCACTTTTATCACTGTCACCTTCCTGAGTCCCCTTTCTTAAAGCCCTAATCAACGCAGTTCCTGTTCCCTCTGGCTGCTGCACTTTTCCCAGTAACATCATCTGGGCTTTGTTATGAGAGGTCTAATGCAGAGATGACATTTATGGGGCTCGAGGCAGAAGAGAAGCTACTGTTGTCCTCAGACTTTGCTCTTCCTCACCTCTGGTACCTACTCTGATCTCTCTCCCCAAATGTTCCTGATCTTAGTACCCCCAGCCAAACTGCATTTGAATAAGGGAATACCTTGGGATGTTCAGTTCCCTACTGAGGTCACAAGAGACAGGAAATGCCCATGTCATGGGGTTGTATAACCTGATTGAGCTTGACAAGATTTGTGTCAATGTCTCCCAGCTCTTTTCATTCTTTGACTTGCCTTTGGATGTTTAATACACTACAAGGACACATAGGTTCAGAGAATAAGTGCTTGGGAGAGGCCCTGGAAAGGTCTTTGGGTAACTAAGAGAAAAGCAAAAGGACAGGTAAAAAGAAGGGAAGGGAGACAAGAAGTCCAAAGAATGGAGAGAGGTGAGGGAAATGTGGCGAAGGAAGAGGCAAAGAGACATCCTGCTTAGCTCTGTCAGTGGACAGATGGTGGCAATTACCTCTTTTGTAAATGAATGTGCTGGCTCTGGTTTTGACTTGAGAGAAAGTAAGGCTCTTTCTTCAATATGCATGTGACTGTAGGTTAATTTCTCAACTTTCCACACTCAGTTGTGAGCTGCTTGAGCCTACAACTTGTTATAATTACCTTAGTGTCCCCAGCACTGTGCCAGGCCCATGGTTGATGTTCAGCAGATGTTTGTTAAAAGAAATAAACCAAGAAAAGAAGAGTGGCCCACCTAGAATTGTCTCAAGAGGGGCCTTAGCGAGGCAACTCATAATAATGGAAGTCACCTGGGAAGCAGGGCTTAGGTACCTCATCACGGCCAGCAGTGTTGTGGATACACACCTATGTTTAAATCCTTTGTGATAATACCTAAGCCCTTCATCAAAAGAAGGCATTTTAGATGTGCTCTCTTCTCCACTCATTTTTGTACAATAATTTTCTACCCCCACTGAAATGCCTGGGCTTAAAATCACCTTCTTCAGGTTGCATAACCTCTTTACAGCTGGCTTAGTTTCCCCAGCTGTAAACTGGGACAACACCACCTACCTCATAAGGATGCTATGAGGGTTAAGTGAATTAATACTTGTACAGTGGTATGAACTATGCCTGACACATAGTAAACATGATGTAATTGTTTATCTTAGGAAGTTGTCTGAGAAACACAGATTTATATTTAAAATCCTCTTTATGTTTTCTTACCTTATACCAAAATCCCCCTTCTTTGTCTTCAACTTATTCCCGAGGGAAGGGCCTTCTAAATAGATCTGGGAAAATGAGGATTGGTTCAACCCACTTCTTGGGCAACAGAATTTTCTCCCTGAACCCCTTCTAAGGTCTGGTTTGCTTACTGTAGGGGACACACCCACCTGCAAGACTCAAATATTAGGGCTGGCCTAGAAGGAAAGGCGCAGTTGAAAAGTCAGGAAATCTGATATTTTTAGAGTGGAGCCA